TGTGTGTGTGTGTGTGTATCGATGATGGTGTACTCACTGTGTGGTTATTCAACATGAACTGGACAGCGCTGAGCTTCACCAGCTTCCTCACACTGCTGTACGTGAACACAGGAAGTCAAGGAGAAAACACACAGAACTACAAACTAAAAGCTTTGTTTAATTATAAACACACTCTGTAACAATAACTATACAGAAATATCTTCTNNGTCTGCCACCGGGTCGGAGTCCCCCTGGAGGCGGCTTCTGTCCACAGGGGGCGCCAGAATCAACACAGTGAAGGTTGTGGTTGGGGCTTTATGTAAACATTATATTCATGTTCCATCCTGTGGACAGAAATAAAGTGCTTGATGATTAAATAAATGATTGATGATTACTCAATTTATTGATTAGTATGTTGACCTGATCATCAGTTAATCTTTCTGGTTATTTATTCAGCAACAATCTATTTGACTGGTGATTGTTTGAATTGTGTGTTATTATCTGAGGTAAACTCTGGAGGGCGGTGGTGCCGCTGTGTTGCTCTGAGATACAGGTGCATCTAGAGGCCATTCTGCATTATGAGCACTTTTACTTTTTAGATTTAAAGTATACTTTGATGCAAATACTTTTGCACTTTTACTGAAGTGAACACTTGAACACTTGTAGCAGAGTATTTCTACACTGCGCTCAGCAAGGATATCCTAACGAGAGGTCGTTCAGTAGTTGGAGTGTCTTGGAGGTGATTGGTTCACACTGGCCCCAGTACTTCAAGTTTGTGATGCTGAAAGACAGAAAAGATTGTTATTGATTGATTATATGAGAAATCTATAAATAATCTGTGCTAAATAAATCCAATAATTACTCACATTTTCCCTATAAAGACACTGAGTACCATCGTCTCGTCGTTCAAACCCAGAACCTCTGATAGTCGCCGATAAAGCTGCAATGAACAGAAACACAGTTTGTGTTATTAGAGGACAGTGAGAGCAGAGACGTGTTGGTTTGGACACTCATGACACCACCTGTCTTTATTATGTTGTAGCTGGATGGTGGGAGACGTGCGGCACTAACCCCAGCTTTGAGACTACATCAGCTGGATGTTTACGGACTGATGGACAGAGTCCAGAGGAGTGTTCAGTAACGCAACCATCAGCTCTTTGTGGCTCAGCAGGGCGGAGACAAGTGAAGCATGAGGAGATGTGCAAGAAGATAAAGAGCTGGGGGGCCTCACTCGAAGGGTTAAACTAACAGGAAATGGGGCCCGTCCCACATCAAACTGACAACGGCGTCGCACATGCAGCAGCTCATCTGACGCTGGTTACTGTGCCCACTGTTCCCACTGACTCTACCTTCACCAACTTAAAGAACATGTGAGGTTTTTGGTTCTAGGTTCTGCTTTGTGTTTCCACTGTTTTATAAACTTTAGTAGGCAACAGTTGAAGAGATGATCGTTTGGTAATTAACTGAGTTAATAATCTCTAGAACCTGCTGCGTTCAGAGGTTTATGGTGGAGCGGGACGTTCGCCCTCTGAGCTCCGTTAATCAGCAAGCGTGAACTTTAAATCCTTAATTACAAACTCTTACAGACCATCAGCGGGAACAGAAGCAGAACCCACAGATATAAACTAGGAGTTAGGAATTGTTCGGTCCAACTCAATCGGGCTCTAACAGCTACACGAACACAGAGAAAGATTTATTTTGGCTGTGACTGCGAGGTTTTTGGGATATCTGCTGTGATGAACCTCTGGAGGGTCAGCGGGGGGGGGGGTTAACACCAAACCAGACGGGCACACGTGTCTACAGTTTCTACATTCAACCACTTATCTGGGACGTTCACATTTTGCAGTTTCTGCCCCGAACAAAGAGAACACACTCCGTCAGTCAGCATGAAGCGGTGTGCTATAAAGCAGCACACAATAGTAAAACATGAGTAGTAGCAGACTGAGACTGTGTATGGAAACCGCTGCAGTCAGCACTAGCAGACGCCGCGGTGCTCAGGACAAAAGACCTGCTCAATCCCACCAACTTGGCCCCAGCGGAGGGTTACTGAGGGGGCAGCGGGGGTTAATCTCACACATGCTACAGACGCCAACAGCAGCACGTTAAAAACGATTTACCTTTGATGATTTCTGCACCTGGTCGCCGATGTAGATCTTTCTGAACTGCTCGAAGAAGCTGAGCATGGCCAGCTCCAGTCTCTCGTTGCCGGCCTGAGCTAGCCGAGAGTCAGTGAGGTTCATCAGCTGGAGCACCCTGAGGGGGGTCGACACATACGGAGGCAGTTCTTTACTTACAGCAAACCGTTGTACACTCATTGCTATTATTCTAACAGCACCAGGAGTCCCACAGGGGAGGGTACTGGGTCCCATATTGTTTCTATTAAAATCCTTATTTTACTTTATTTGTCATTTGTTTTCCAGAACAGGTTATTTTGTGATATTCAGGAGGATAAGAGTAAAATGTCAGACACCCTAAATAAGCCCATACTGACGTCTTCAAATTGCTTGTTTTGTCCGACTAACCCAAAGATAAACGGTTTACTATCATTATAGATAAATAAATCCATGCAGATGAGACCTCTAACCTCAGGAATGGTGGGTAATTTTGCTTAAATAATCGACTAATTGATTCATTATTTCAGAGAAGGTTTAGAACTAATGGAAATAATGAAGTATAGAGTTCTGTTACCCTTTTCAAATTAACTGGATAAACTGCTGAAGTTAAAATGCTTTGATATAAATATAATATTTTCAAGGTTTTAAACACAACGACTTTCATATATTGTTGGATTCTTACCGACAGACTAACTCTCCGTCCATGGCGTCCTGCTCATCTGTACTCGCAAACGACACCCGTCCGCCGATTACTGCCCCGATTATATAAACCAACCATGTCAACCGACCTGCAGAGGGAGGAACGTAACATTCGTATGATATTTACATCCTAAAAACAAGACGTCCACTTTCAATTTACTTCACATTTACTGAATTATATTTGAAAACAGCTAAAAGGCAATTGTGGTTTCATATCAAACAATCAGAAAAAGAAACATTTTGAAAATACAATCAAATATCAAACTTCCAATTTAAAGCTTGAGCTTGAATCCCCATTTGTGTGCCGCTCGTACCCTCCTGCACAGTGATGTCTGCAGCGCTCGAGTTGGTGGACTGTAGCAGCTCCTGGTAGGTCTGAGCTGCCTGGTCGAACAGTTGGACCAGCAGAGCACAAGTCTTCTCGTACTCACACCTCCCAATGGTGGATAACTGGTCTAACTGCTGCTGGACCAGGCCAGCGTCATCCAGAGGGTCCTCTAAACCATCTCTGTGGGAGTCATTCGGACACACAACTTATTCAGTTTGTGACCTAAATGTTATGAAGTCTAACAGACAAACGCTTCCTGATAAAACCTTTGCAGGAACATGAATTGTTTGTTTAAGCTGCAGGTGAATCCACTGCTAATTTATACTAATTAATCAAACATCAGGACAACGCCACAGATCCAAGGTTTCACAGATCTTACCTGAGGATGACGTGGACCGACTCGAGCCGCGATGTGATGTAGGCCTTGGTGACCTCTGGAGTGTAGGTCTCCAGCAGGTGAGGTTCGGTGGCTTTGACGTAGGGAACCGACGCTGCCAGACGCTGCCACAGACTCAGCAGGTAGTGAACGCTGTTGGGGGCAAACTCCCAGTGCTGGCACACAGGAGGAGAAGAGGAGAGGAAGAGGTGAGGAAGGATAAAACAAAGTCCTGAATGTTTTTGTAGACACGAGGTTGATGACAACTTCCTTGTTTGGTAGTTTAATGCAAAAATAAACAATATTTCAACCAGTTCGCAGATGCTGAATAATGCTTCTCTTGGCGGTTATTTGGTCACCTGGTGCGTTTATTCTTCACTGTCACTGCTGTAACCCTCTACTCACCTGCAGACTGGTGACGGTGAAGTTGGCTATGAGGCGAATAACTTCAGGGTAGTTTTCTACTTTCACCAGCTCCCCCAGCTGGTAGTTACTCTTCAGCCTCGCCAGCAGACGACAGAACTCGTGGTAGTTATTCGGATCTGGCAAACACTGAAACACATTTCACACCGTCAAACAACCAGCTGGAAACAAAGTGTGTGTGTGTGTGTGTGT